GCTTACTTCCACGTGCGCCAACTAACCTCTACCAACCAGCCTCCACGCGCCACTAACCTCCGCGCGCCCAGTCTCGACTTCGTTCACGTTCGACGAAGTGTCGAAGTGGTGGGAGGCTGGGGGCGGGGGGGAGGGTAGGCGGATGTTTGGGCGGTTTCCCGCCCGAATGTTCAAAAACCGGTGGCCTATCTGGGCCGCCGATCTCACAAGATCGACGGTCCAGATAGGCCACCGATTTTTGAACAATCGGGCGGCCCTACCGGACCTGGTTCATTTTTTTTTGGGGCCAGGAGGCCTCCACAACCCGCGTGGAGGCCTCTCGGCGCCTAAAAAAGTTGAACCCCCCGCCCAATCGAAATGCGCAAACGATGACCGAGGGGGAACCGGCACAGTTTACTCGCGGGTAGGACCGGCCCGATTCCGGTGGGGGGAGGAGGCCCCGGTGGGACCGAGTATCCAGCCCTGTGTTAGTATCATTTTCCTGAAATGGAATTCTATGCTTGTCTGGGCTAGCAGCCAAGCCGTCGTGGTCGCCTCAGACTGGCCCAGGTGGCCCGGCCGGGCCAGGTCCATGTAAAGTCCCGGTCAAGGTCCCGAATAGTAGCAGCAAAAAAAAAAAAAAAAAAAAAATCTGAAAAGAAAAACTTCATTGCAGAGAATCCCAAGTCAAACAGCTTTTGTCTGAGAGTGGCGCCCCGGAACTCCTTACAAAATTTGAATACTAAATGAAAACAAGACATTAATAATTTTAAATTTAAATTTTCCACAGGACATTCACACCCCTCGTAGCCCATTTAAGCGCCTTCCAACCCTGCTTATACCATATAGACACCCTTTGTTGACACGTGACCAAATTGAAAGGTAAGCCTTTTTGCTGTTGCCTGGGTACCTGTCTCTTATACACATCTAGATGTGTATAAGAGACAGACCGTGAGTTCAGTCAGAGGGAAATCCAAGAGGGACACATCTGTAAATCTGGGAAAATTGTACTCCTGCAATCAGACTCGCTTTCTTTCCACTTCGCACACATGCAAACAGATGGAGACTCACACTGGCGCAGGGCGCCCACTCAAAGCTTAGAGATATG